ATTTACAAGCTGTTTATGAATGTTCTATGAATGCATTATGAAGGTGCAGTTAATGTAAAGAATTACCAAATAATTTGTATTTTTTCTAGATAAATTTGGAGGGGGGGGGGTATGGGGTGTCGGATGACAGTGTTCATGATAACAACCCATGAGCTCCGTGGGTAATGCAGACGGCGGCATTTACCGCCCCCGCTCTGAAAGAGGCCCTCACCAATGCGCTCAATTTTAACCTCATTTACGCACTGAAGTGTGCTAAAAATCACCCGAATGGAGTACCATTCATTCGGCGGCTAATTAAATTCTTCAGACCTCATAGTTAGATGGTGGCACTACCTAAAGGAAGCGAATAACCTGAGCTTAGCGCTAAACAGCGCTCTACATCGATGCCGTGACCCTACGGCCCTGCACCTCCCCCCACGTAACGCGGACGGACCGAGGTGGGGCAGAGTGACGTGGCTCTTACGTTGTGCCCCTACCCCTTTATTAAATTACCCCGAGCGCAGTGCGCTTAGCTGCTGTGGCCTGGAGGAGCAGCCTTGGTGACTTTCAAAAAGCAGGAACATTCTAATAGAGACCCGTCTGTGAGCTCAAAGAGAGATTACGCTGAATGCGAGCGCGGCCTTTTTCTGCTCACCGGTCACTTGATCGCACAAATGAAATGTGCATTTTCTAAGCGACCAGAAGACTCGTCTGGAAGGACTGCATACAAGAGAAGAATTTCAATTGATCTGCAGGCCTCTGTCCTCACTTAGGCCCACAAAGTATATTTCCCTGGTCATGGACATATGCGCAGCCTGATGTACACTCACAAATGCTGTTATTACCCTGAAATGCTTAGTGAATGTTCTCGATCGCCTCACATTTACATGACGTTTATCAGGATAATGCAAGGAACTCTCAGTTCCTTTCAGGTCCTTGCGATCAAGGTCATATTCATACAATCCGTTTATGATATAATACAAAGATGTCAGGCTAAGTAATATTGCCTTTGTCTATCCTGCCTCTGGAGGACAAGCCGTATTGATGGAGAAGTCTGGCGTTGACCCGTTTTGGTGATCAGCGAAACCGTGTGGCATACTTTTTAGCCGCGCCTGTCCCCGTGCGGCACTCAGGCGAGAACCCCATGATTTGTGCTCACGTGTGGAGGAGACTCAGCATGGTGGGATAGTGGGACGCCCCGGTTCCTATCGCCGTCCAGTAGCAGGTCCCCGGAAGACAGACCCAAGATCTTGGAGTGCAGCTTCTGAAAGAGATAAACACATGTCTACTTGAACAGAATATACACTCTGCGTGCTGTCGTGGGAGAGGGCAGGGGGCTCTCAAAACAGAGTATTACCACAGTATCAACTCCTTCTAAGTGCGTCATACACTAATAGAAAGACTTGTTTGTTTCTCTATTTTCTAAATGAAGCTGAAAATGATCCAATTATCCCACCATCTTGCCTATTTCATTTCACGGCTGCCATCGACATGTTTTCATATCTTGCAAATGGTTCAAGGTGCAGTTCTGCGGTCACCCCCTCAGATGTAAGTGTCACCGGCCCCTAAACGGGAGGGACCGCGCTTAGCGGGCCGGATTCCAGCCACTAGCTCCCCGTACAGCCACAACTCAAAGTCACTAATGTCATCTGTTAGGAATAATTAATGTGAATGGGAAATAATTGCGGCGGGGAGCTGGGGATTTCTCAGATTCCTTTTTTCATTAAAATTCAGCCGCTATTTGAAGATCCGCCCCGTCTCCCATTCTCCCTGCACTCGGGAGCGTCGCTACACTGAATATATTTCCACGTATTAATCTGCAGGCTAATTACCCTGCCTTTCCGCGAGCCGTCCTCTCAGCCCTTCTTAACAAATAGCAGGAGATAAAACATTTGATTTATCACACAATTCGCCACCAAGGGCATCGTTACTGTAGGTTTGGGAAATGCATTTTCCTGCTTTCACATCCCGTACACTCCAACAGATCTTTAAAATATACTTGTTCAAGCTTTGTCTGTTTAAATGCATTTTCCCGCCGCATGCAGGGTAAAGATTATCTCCCCCCGATAACAGACTTTTCCACGTGACTGGAAAGAGCGAATATAAAAGTAGCCATCAACGGGGACCTGAAATCCACATAAACCTTCCCAATGAAACATTCAACGCGATGCGTGTTTACATGCGAATGCTGCAGCCTACGCCGACCTTTAACCCCCAATCACATGACTCTGCAAATATTTCCCTGGAAAATAACCATAAACCCCAGGAGCCAGAAGATTTCTGCAGAGTGCTGCAGATTTACCTATGTGCCGTTCAGGGTATCATTAGCGTACCAAAAGCCATCAAACCGTTGTGAGCGTGTTTAATGGAGTAAGGGGCAATTACTTTTGACAAAAAGGCAGAGTTATGTTATTGTCCTTATTATCAGCAGATTTTGAGGATTTACTAAGAATATAAAACGCCCCCTGAATGAGTTACATCAGGCTTTTCCAATGATCATCACATCTGTCCACCTGCTGGGATGAAACCTAGCATGCTAATACCTATACGGCCCCCTCTGACAGAAACACACAGCCGGTCATATTTACGGGGCTAAACGTCCACAAAACTAGCTGTTCTGCCAGGAGACCTCTAGCAATGCGTGTGATCTTGACCTTGTGACCTTGAGAAAGACAAGCCAAGTGAACAGGCTGAAGCCACAAGCTGAAGATGAGGTGATGAGGACGACGATGAAGGTTTCTCTGAAAGTATTATCAGCATCCGTAATCCACTGGGACCGCTGAAACTCGACACACGCATACACACACATGCGCGCACGCACACACCTGGGTAATGTTCATGTACGCAGAGGCAAACTCCTGCCCACACAAATACATCCTGTCTGGCGGTTAAACACAACATGAGGCAGGCGATTTCAAGAGCGACCACGATCTTTCTAGAAGTTGTCATTTCACAATAAAAGCAAACAACAGGCATGAGTCACGGGTACCCCACTGCCCGCTGCCCGCTGCCCGCCCCGGCACAGAGCAGGCAAACATCCTCTCCACACATTCCCATTAAAGCGCCAAAAGGATAATAGCACCTACACAAACAAGGCCCTTTACATGCTCTCGAATATTAATATCAAACTGTCTGTGAAAGCTTATTCAAGATCCATTATATCACGAACTGCAATGCATTCACTGAGAAATGCAGAGTAACTGTGCATCTTCTCCGGCTTACAAATAATTGTTAATTTAGTAAAAGCCAAGGATCCTATTAATCCAACTACCGCTGGGCACTGTGTCGAGCTGAATTTCGAATGCCTGAAGCTGAAGAACATCAACCACTCGTCCCGCGGACGTGCTCCCCGACGTGTGCAAGCTGAGAAATGCACAAGCCCGCACCCCCACTGTAGAACTGAGGACGCTTTAAATCAAGATTCAGCGTTGGGTCTCTCTTATAGTCGCAGCACTTTGATACCGGCACTGATGTTCTCATGTAGGAATTAGCGAAACATACTTCGGTGTGTCTTCGAAGGCAAGTTCACACGTTCTTGTCAAATCACAGAAGACCAGATGGATTATAGGCAAGCGTCAGCATGAAATACGGAAAGTTCAAATGAAGGTGAATCCCGCAGGCCTAACAAAGAACAAAACCGGAAATAAAACTTAAAGACAAATTGAGATGCGGTTCATTATTTATTTAGGATGGCAACCCAGTCCTAAAAAAAATAAGCAGAGGAGTCTTAAAGTCCCACTTAATCGCTGAGTAACTCTGAAAACATCACGGGCGACTCGGAGAGTGGCACCAAAGCGACAACATTATTATGATTATTAATGGGGGCTTCTACCCGAGTCGCAATTTGACAGGGTTTGGTGCCTTTCTGATGCAGCTCACTTTACACACAAATGGAGGCGAACAGCAGCTCGGTGGGGCGGCCTGGAGCCTATCAGCTGTGACTCGAAGCTCAGGGGGCGGAAGAGAGTGAGGGAGGGGGCAGCGGAGTCCAAGCCAGCCCCTAGAGATGTACAATGCACCACTTCGGCTTTTACAGAAGGGGGAGGGGGGGCACTGCAAAGGAGAAAAGAAGGGGAACTCGACAGACGGACCAGTGACACGGGAAGGAATGATCATGAGACTGCAGAGAGAGAGGGTGTGTTGGGTGAGCGCCTCCCTGTGGTCTGCACCTGCCAATACAGGCTGGCCAGTCAGATGAACTCTTCTACAAATACTCCACATGATGATTACCTCTCTGAAAAATTTGCTAATTTTAATGAAGTTAAATTATTAGGGCTAAATGTTTAAATCTGTTTGTTTCTCTATAGGAATGTTCTCAGTATACCGTACTCCACATACCAGCCGTGCCTCATCCACAACCCGGCTTGTTGGTCTGCATTTCTCGCCAATACCATTAATGTCACTGCAGATTAAGGAAGGCCAGCAGTGGTCTCACCCCCGGAACATGCACTCCGGCGACCCAGTCAGGCAAAGCTCGCACTGCTCCGAACTAGAGAGTAAATTCAGGTTTCGGCTGGCTGTAAACGAAGATTGCTTTCTAATTACAGTGCTATCGCAGCCTCCCTCAGAAGCTTCCGGGACTCAAAAAACTGAAAAGCAGCAGACCAGGATTTTACCCTCAGGGGGGGGGCACATCCAGTGCTGGTTTAAGACCGACTTCAAATTATAAGCTGTAGTCTATAGGACTGACCAGGCCTGACCACATCCCAAGGAGCGATGAGAAGGAGTCACTAGGTATGAGGTTCAGGTCACCTGACTCTCTCATCCTATAGGGACAGTGCCCCCCCCCCCCCATATCCTTAGTAACATATGGGAGTTATCACTGCCCTCAGTGAATAACAGGTACCACCCTCAGAGAGGTTAGGGCCGGGGTGGGCAATATTATCCGCAAATGGCTGGTGCGTACGCAGGTTTTCGGCATGACCTTTAGGTCAGCTGTTCAAACCCAGGTGTGGGGACTCTTCAGCCAATCAGTCCTCTATTTAGTAATCTAATTAGGGAGTTGCAGCGATAACCCGCACACATCCAGCAGTGCTTTCTGGGTAAGACTGGCCACCCCTGGGTTAGGGTCATTACCACCCTGAGAGAGGTCATATGCGGAGGCCATGCAACAAATTCATTTATTAGACTGGTCCTAGCTGCTGTGGACTCATGCCGTGAGAGACCCTCGTTCCTAGGTTCAGATAGAAAGGTCCAAGAAACCGGTGGTCCAATGGTTCACCAGCCAGCATGATAAGATTGGATGAGATCTCTCATACATTCACAGCAGTATGTAGCATCTGACACCAGAAGAAGCTACTTCTTCTTCTTCTTGGGAATTTTTGAAGATAAGGGACATTTGTATGGTTCATGGGAGTTTTACTTACACAAAAATGTTGAGGATAGAAGGAACAGTTTCAGATAGATAACCAGTCAGATTGTAGAGCTGGTGGGTCCAAGCAACTAGAGGAGGCAGGACCAACAAATCAAATGCCTTGGTCCCACCTCCGCTAGTTGCTTGGATTGATCATTGTTCTTTCAACATTTTTGTGTAAGTAAAACTCCCACAAGCATTTGTATAACTGTAAATGGGGATTATGTACTGTGTCATCTGGCTATTAAAGAATCCCTGACTCTGCAATCATAAACCTTAATGAAGTTTTCAGGCCATTTATGTACCGTTAATTTACTCAAGCCAAGCTGGACTTCTGTAAATAATGAAAATTCTATGTGATTTTTTTCTGAGAGAAAAAGAAATAATTACACCCCAGACAGATTCCCATAAAGGATTCACATATGAGCCTGGAACTTAAAATACATCTTGACACCGTTAACATAAACTGTTGTTTTCTTGCCGAGGTGGAACCAGCCAGAGAGAGATAAGGCCAGGTGATGCCCCACCTGTGTGACCTTTCAGTCTGACAGTTCATGAGTAATGAGACCCCATCATATTCTAGGTTTAAGAGACGGCATGCAGGTTGGACAGACTCTTTCATTAAAATCTTTGCCATTAACGAGTTTAACAGTGGACTTGGGCTCCTGTGCTCTCCTTCAGCTGCCTAAATGACTCTGTGGACAACAAACGTAAATTACCTGTCCAATGTCTGTCCATTAAAAACAAAAGACAGACTATTAGGGAAGTGTCAGTCTCTGAGGAAAAGCTCCCGGAAATGAGAGTGAGTCTCTCCATTGTCACTCGTAGGGTTCACACAGGACGGACGGTGTCTCATCTGAATGGAGAATACGCAGGGAAACTCCGCACTTTCAACTTTTCTCAGACTCCTC